CTGCAGTGCTGTTCATTTCCTTGAGCGTGTTCAGAACCTCGCCGTCACTCAAATCCACAAATATGTTTCAATTGACACCACTATTATAATGTCACACAATACCTATATATATTAAATCCTTGATAAAGTTTCTCTATCTCATATAAATAGCCATCAAATTTTGACAAGAAACACATGTTGGAAGAAGATGCTTGTTTTCAACCACCTTCTCCACCTGTGACTTAACAGGGACCATCTGGACCTCCTTCTTTGCTTCCTCCATGGCCTGCTTGAGGTCGTTGGCCAGCAGCTGCAAGTCAGGAGCGGCAGCGCATTCAGGGTTCCAGGCGGCCTGCGGTGTTGCAATAGGCCGGGCAGGTGCCGCACCCTCATGCATACCCAGGGATTGCAGCTTCAACCTGGGCAATCAAAGCTGCAGCTATCCCCAAGAAGCTCCATATATTATATATATATATCCTGGCGTAAAAACAATACATACAATATTATAAAGGATATATTGGGTCTCACCTATATATATATATATAGATATGGTTGGTTTTGTTTGGCACCCAAGTACTTCAAGAGTTCAACAAAACATGTACTATAACAGCAAGTCACCTATAGAGCTTGAGGTCCCGAGGATCTTCCAGCTTGGGCTCATCCTTCGTAGGATCGACCGTCGACGTTGTACTGGCAGTCAGATCTGACAACTCATCCAGGTCCACTGCAGATCCCTCAACATCCTCAATGGGCTGATCATCAGAACCATGCTCTGGCCACCGTTGTCCAGGTTCAAAGTCCTTATAATCAAACCCACAAGATGTTTTCCCTACCTTGACCAAAGTGTTCATAATTGTTCATAGGTTTCCATCATTGAAAGCAGCTTCATACGCAGCCAAGCAGCGCAGACGCCACCAGAACATCGATCCTTCAAAGCGGCAATTGCAGGACTCTTTGCTGTGGCCGACAGCTGCATCAATCTCCTGAAGCGAATAACCTCAAGGCTGGCCACCAGCAACAGGAAATGCATGGTGGGCAAGACACACACATACACATGGAAAAAGTTGAGACTAGCAGCAAGTCTGCATAGTGCTTTTGCAACCTTAAGACTCCAAAGCTGAATGCAGCTCATTTCCTCCACGATGCCCCTAGGCCAGAGAGAGTTGTCCTTGTAGAAAATCAAGATCGCACGTTGTAAGATCCTTTCCGAGAATCGGCCGCTGCCTCTGGACACTTTCATCACCGGGTAGATAGCCTTGGCTATTTGTTTCAAACATGTTCCCCCCCCACACACACATGCAGCTCAGGTAAAACCAAAGTAAAAAACATTGAGGTTGAAGGTGCTGAAGCACACGAGCATTGCCACCAACGTCCTTAAGACTTGCCTTGGTATTTGTATAGAGCTTCCCACTGACATTGAGAAGGAATGAAAATCCAACCTCAGCTAGCAGCCCAGGAAGCAGCCTACGAATCTTTATATATTCCAAGCACAAATTCACATCTTCACAATATATGGTTGAGCACTCATGCACACCATGCACAAGATTGCAAAAGACGAGACACTTCTTGCAGCTCCACTTCCTCTGCAAAGGCAGCTGCATAGCTCTTCGCAAGCTCTTCATCAAGAGGAGGCCCCATGGCAGCCAAAATTGGATCGGGCTTTGGAACCGGCAGGGAACAGTGGTGTGTATATATATATATACTCCCGCCACTGCTCAAGAAATTAATAGATCAGGTCAATATATATATATATATCGATAGATAGACATATATATCCAACTATATAGGCTACATATCTATATATATATATACACATAATATCTCAATTCTCAATGGTTCTACTGAAGTGCACCCAGGCAAAACACTGTTCGGGCCCATCACACCGCTGGGAATTGTGCACATATTAAAGTCAATCAATTGTCATGAATCTCTTCTCCATCAACCCCCTGAACATCTCTTGGCCCACACCCAGCTAGCGGGAAGGGCGTGCCTTTGAGTTCCTGCACTTGCCACAGCTTCGCCATGAGCCTGACACAGATAGAGCAGTCCAAGTACATGTACACCACATCTCTAGATTGAAGTGGTTAAGTTTACTGGAGCTTGCAGCCATATATACAAAACTTTTGGGCTTCAAATTGTCAGGGCATCAAACCATATATCATATGCACATTTGCACAAGACTGCAGCAATGTATTTGGCAGTACTGATCACCGCAGGGGTGAGGCAATATTTTTTTCACGCGAAGATGTAGCCACGCTTTGATGCACCATGCATATGCATGTTCACTGATTCGGCTGAACATTTAAAATTCTTACCATATCCTGGATCGCCCTATTGCAGCGGGTCAGTGTCTGCAAGGCAGAATGAGCATTCTTCACATGAAGATCCTTAGATGTTCAATGCTTTCCAGCCACCACTAGTCATGTAGATGTACAACATCAAACCCCCAAAACAAAAAACCAAACGCCTTACTATCACAGGTTGAAGTTCCAGAGATCTTGCAAAGGAAAGCAGCGAAGCACGTTGGTCTTTGAAGTTCTGAAGCACCTCGTATATGTGCACACAGCAGATTCAACATACCCAAGGTCTCCCTTGTCCCAACCCCTTTTAATCATCCATGCAGCACCTGCTGCACAGGAATGGGCTGCCCACATTGAGAGCAAGAACTTGTGTTCAAGGCTGATGGAGATGGAGGGCTTTTGCACGTTGATTTGGGTCGAGGTCGAAGCACCTATAGTACAAGTTTCAGATCCATTGAATATACCTGTTCATGAATCTGTTGGCAAAGCAAACCAAAAACCTGCCAGCATTATAATCCATGTAGCTGGTGGCTGCAGCAACTTGTAGACAGCAACCCCACCGGATTCTGCATCATCAAGATCGAGTAGCTGAGACATATCATCCTTGTTGAGCCCATAAATATTCTGAGGCTCCACAAGATCATCCTGAGCGGATCAAACTGCGATACATATACAACCGACCCAACCATCAAAAGACATATAGTTTTAAAAATCACCTCAAATACTATATATAGACAGAATAAAGCTTAGTTTCCTTCTCTGCAGGAACTTCTTCTTCCATTTGCTCATAATCCATACGCCGGCGTTTGTTCAGGGGCGCCTGATCAATTTGTAGGCTACCACTGCAAAAGGATTGGCCTTTTTACCCACAGATTAAAACCAAAAGGTTCCTATAGACAATCCTCCAAAGCACCATGATCTCTGATTCCACCTCCGATGTCTCCTCGTCAGGCTGGTACTCATGGGTTGCAAGCCATTGCTCTTCAGCAGCCTGAGATTTCATGGAGGCATCTTGAGGGAAAAACCTAGGACTATATATATATATATGTATAGAGGAACCACCTTCTGTAAAATTGAACCACCTCCTCAAGACAATTATTCCAAAGCATACCAAAGCAAAACTTCTAATCATTATGCCAAAGAAACAACACTTCTAATCCTCCTTTGTAGCGCCAAAGAAATGCTTGAGGATGCCTCCATGCTCGGCCGTATAGATAGAGATCTTGAGCCAGACACACTCTCGAATCAACTAACTAATCTTACGCTTTGTGTTGACTACCCCCAACAAATTGTCAAAGATTTGTTGAAAGCCTTTGCTACACAACCCTCTCACCAGCAGGCCCAATCAGGCTCAGTTCCAGTCGCGCCTGCACCAAAAAAGGATGAGCGCCCCCAGCACGGCCCCCGCAACCGCACCGGCCGGCCCAGCGCCCGCGCGGCCCCGCGACCGCATATCAAGATAAGAAAACCATGACTGTTGATTCCATATAGGTGCATTTGGGTGTGCTGTGATATAGATATTTGCCCTTGTAAAGTTAAATCGGATGCCATGTCCTGTTCAAAGAATTTGTGATTTGTATATAAACATACAACCAGAAAAAACACACCTGCAGCTGCGGAAAAGCGCGCGATCGAATGGCGAGTTCAAGTTCAATGCACACACAAAGGGTACCCTATATAAAAAAATATATTGTTTAGGTTTTAAATCAATATATATGTATATACGTCACATATAAAAAACCAAAAAAAACAATTACCTACAAAAGTCTTCCCCAAATCCTTTAAGCATCCATATGCTTGGCTATCTTAAGCTGAGCCAATCATTGAAATCTTGCTGTGTTCAATTTTCACGGCCGTTCACGTACATTTGGCTGTTTTGTAAGATGACGTACATAGGTGCCATACGTACCATGTACAAGATCATCCTGTACACATGCATGTCTAGGAGGACTATAGAATATGCAGTGAACATGTGAAGGTTCACATACAACATCACACCAGGAGGTAACGTAACGTGATTTAATGAATTTGGCTACTGTTTTGAGATGTTTTGAGTGTTTTTTTCATCGATTTGTGCAGGATCTATGTGGGCTCTGGTGGCGACGCCAGTGTGGTCATGACAAAAGGGCGGTTCTTCCGACAAACGCGATGACCTCGTAAAACTTGATCGTTCTCAGATGACTTCGTTAAACTTGCACTTCGGACTTGCAGGGTAGTCAATGCTCAGGACCAAGTGCTTTGAAATTGTTGTTTTGAGTCAGCTAAAGGGAGAAGAGTTCACAAACAATGTTGGTTTGATTGTTTTGGCCAAATGTTTACTCCAAGAAAGTGAACGCAGATTCCAGAATGCGTGCAGTTTAAACAGTGGGCACGTTTTTCAACAATAAATTTGCTCAATGTGAGGTGTCCTGTAACCTGTAAAGTGCAAAACGGATGGAACGCCTTCTAGCACTACCTAGCACTGTGGATGTGTTGTGTGCAAGCCCCAGATGGGCTGGATGCAGGAGGGTTCCATGACATTTTTGGGTTTGAATGCAGCACTTCTCGAAATATATGCATGTTGTTGCCTTTAGGGATCCAAGTGCCTTCTCAGAAGGTACTTGGACCCTCCAAACCTACATAGCAGTGTCTCCAATCACCTTCTGACAAGGTACTTGGATCCCTGGGGTTGTGAAGGCCTGCAAACGAACATCTCCGGTCGGTTGTTCCATCGTGACGGAGGCCATGCTGACCCAAAGCGTGGCGTTGTACTTTGCACCTTGGCCCAGACGGATGCCACCGGAGATTCCAAAGAATTCCCCAGCGACGCTTGGTCAACCACGACGGGTGTTGAGTGGTGTGAAGAAACGATCCCAATAATGGGGGGTGGAGCGTTCGAGAAGTTCGTGGCCGTGGCACATGCGCATGCAGAGGAAGCCGGTGACAGGAAAAGTAAGTGCAGGCGATGAGATGCCATGCCTAGTTGGCCCAGATAACACCGATTCAATGGCCAGATGCCCAGTTCACTGTTTGATTTCCAGGCACATGTCTTAGGCTGCCGGAGAGACTGGCTGCCAGCCTGTACGATCCTATAGTTGATGTTCTTTCATGTGGGAGTCATTTGTTTGATGCCTTTGACTCTTGTTTGTTTATAATTTGTTTGATGAATACAGGGGATACCAACAATCGTCATCATCAAATACGAACAATAGGGTCGATGTCAGACTCCATTTAGTTTGTTGATTCGATACCCCTCAGTGAACAACCAACAGAATAATAATACCCAGACACTCCATGGGACTGCCATATATGCCGATCAATCAATATTGTGGTTTTGGGGGTCAATGGGGCGGCAGTCCTATGGCAGTCCCATGGAGGGTCTGGGATACCTAGATCTTCAGTCCGGCACTTTTACAGGGTCCGGCGCCGGACTTCCAACTCCGCCCAAAGGAGGATCCAGGTATAGATATCGAACCCTCGAATATGTGCGTCGGTCGGGTCTACCGCGCATACCTACCGCCCGAGGCCACTCGGCGCTACGTGCGTTGGGTGGGCACCCTGGGCGTGGATGAGGTGCCTGAGCGGTCGGGCCAGAACACGTGTGCTATACTCCCGGCTCCAACCACGTCCTCAGAAGGTTGTTGGGGTGGGTTTGGGGAGCCCTAGGGACTTGGTGTCACACCATCCGCAGGTGTGTGAATCTATGTCTACATCCCGCAGCGAGAGAAAATGCAATCACACACACCTTTTTTTCCACGCATGCCCAGCCATATCGTTGCCGTAGCATCCACAACAAACACATTTTCCTCAGTGGCCCTGTGGACATAATATGACATAGCCGACATGCATCGACATGCCGCGTATACCACACGAATTTTTGACCAAAACGTGTGCTTTAGCCGGATCGGGGTGACCGTCTCCAGCATGTTTGTTGGAAGTGCAGGTCAGTTTTGTTGGCTATACTCAGCTGCCAGACAGGTGCCGTTGAGTTTGGAAAGAGTAACATGTTATAGTGGATTGAGAGTAGATGGCACAGACCCCAATGTCGGTTTATTTGGACCCCCATCTAAAGGACATCTTGGGGTCTGTGCCATCTACTCTCAAAACCACTGTACTTGTTGGATGCGCTGCCAGGAGTCGGGAACTCTCGATCTTCAGCGGCTTGAGCTCACCTTGAGGCGCCCGGAAAGAAATGGAAGGGTTTTGGAGGAAGAGGGCAGTTGGGTTCAACTCCCTAAGGAAACGATCATGAGCTGCCCTTGGCAATCTTGATCAGTCATGAACGCACGTAGAGGTCCTTCAGTCCTTCCCTCGGACTTTTTTTTTCAGCAGCTCCGACCGCGGCATTCTGACAGGCCGTGCACTGCTCGTCCGGTCATGACCCCGTGCCGTCGCACTGTGCGCTTGGACCGTCCCAGTTCGCGTACGAACCGGCCATGCGAAGCGGGTGAGGCTGCTGCAGCCGCGGGACACCTTTGCCCAAGCCTTGGGTGTGAGGGAGGCGCTGAGAAAGAGAAAGGGTCGCGGCCTGGTATATTTCCACGTATTTCCACACCATCCACCGTATGGCTTGTTTAATATTGACCGAATAGTCGAGATGGTTGAAAAGGGCTCAATGCATGGTTCAGTGTGGTTTGTGATTGTTTATGTCTCTCCGTGGGATGGACGGAGTTGGAAGTCCGGAGTTGGAAGTGAAAGACCGGAAAGTTGAATTGACGAGGACTTATCCAGGAGAATCTACAGCATACGCATACTCCGATGACTTATCTCAGGGGTACTCATAACCTGAAAGCGTGGAAGGAGCATTGAAGATCGCATTGTACTAGTGTGGACATCCTCCAACCACAGTGACACCATATTCCAACAGATACTCTAAGGGATGAGTGGGGTCTAGAGTTCGCTTGGGTTGGTCTCCAGGAAATAGCATCTACTTAATTTTGTTGGTGAAATTCCTGCAGAGTTTCCTGTGCTGTAAGATAAGGCAGACTTCTCTTCCTGGAGATTATCCTGGAGCTAGGAGCTAGTACTGGAGCGCATTTCCTGTTGAAGTCGAAGCGTTGTCATGTGCTTTCTCGGAATGCAGCATTTCCCTGCTCATCTAGGCTACATCATGCAAAAAACCCTGAATGAATCTATCCAAGAACTTGGAACCACAGTTGAAGTTGGCAAAGACAATGAGGAAGACAACCTCTTGACTGATCGGCAGGACGAGTGAAAAAAACCCACTATAGCTATATAAACACCTGACCCCAACGGGTCTGCAGGCTTTTGCAGACTGGTTGGAGGGTCCTGGCATATATAATATATTATGCACATTATTATACACATATTATATATTATACACATATTATACACATATTAGACTGGTTGGAGGGTCCTGGCTTGTTCTTTCTTTTCGGAGACCAAACCACCCGGTCCGGGCGGCCTCGGACTCGGACTCGGACGATGGACGGACCTCGCAGGTGTCCAAGTTGCCGGTGGACTTGGCCTCGTTGGCGATTCCTTTGCTGTGGCTCTCGGCCGTGGTCCATGCCTGGAGACCCGGAGTCCATGCGACGTGCGTTGGCGAGCTTCCGGGGGACGCCGAGGAGTGAGGAGTGAGGGGTGAGGGACCGGTTGGGCATGTCCGGAAGGGGGTGGTCCTTCGGTAGAGGTGTGAGAATCTGAACTTTTATTCCTATGCTGCATGGGTGTTGAAGATTGTTCAGTCAGATGCCAGTTGCACAGTTACACCCCATGTTACACATGAATGGTTCACGGTGCTTTTCTACCAAAAATCCCCATGGCGCCCACCGAACTGGCTACGTCGCCGGACGCTATAGCCATCCCCAAGGCGCGGAATTTGCGGCTGTGGACTCGGACGTTGCTGGCCGCCTCGTTGATGGCCCTCTTCTCAGGCCGGATGACCTCCCTGCCGCAGAGGAGGGGGGAGGAGGAGGATCCCACGACATCCTGGCACCTGGTAATGATAGATATGTTGGGCTCGTCCAATGCTGTAACATAAATAGTGACAAACAATTTGTAACTATTTTTGAACAAGGCATACAAGGCCTGCCACTGAACCATCATCATCCACTGGGCTTTGGTAATAGGATAGACCCAATAGATATGCCAACAGAATGGATTTGTGTGCGCTCAACCTGATCGGTCAAGACTGCCAGTCTCAGACGATGGTGATAGACCTTCCAACTCGGCCTGCACTGAGTTTGGAGGTCATTTTCTTGTAGAAACAGGCTAACTGCAGGAACTCCTCCTCACAAAGATTGGGATCTCTTCCATGAAGCATAGCTGGCATAGCTGCTAGGAGGAATGGTGCCGAAGGACAAGTCCAGACCTCACCAAGTAGTTGCCTTGGCATTGTTTGCCAGTTATACCAGTTGGGATTCCTATGTGAAGGAGGATGGATCATCGTCACACCGACCCAGAAGAGATTTCACTATCAGCACCCAGACCCTCCAGATCCAGGTCACCAATTCAGACCACTTGAGGCCCGTCCCAACTCTTTGGCTGGAGCAGACCTGGCATCAACGTGACGTCACCGTGGTCTGGCACGGGGTGCCACGCCATCTTCAATGGTCCGGATGTGACCGCGATGCCCACGATCATAGTATATTTGGGTGTGGCCAAGCCCGGTGAACCGGTTTCAACCCTTTCAGGACTGGGTACTCTGAGCTCCGCGACGAGCATCCAAGTCGGGGAGGGTTTCCCTTGAGTGCGTTGGCGATTTGCCCGGTTCGCTGCAGACATTGGAGCCATCAAGCTTGGGCCGTGAAACTCTCACGGCTTCCTAGACGCGGATCACAGCGAAAGCTGATCAGATCCCAGTCAGGCGTTGGAACCGGTGCGTGTGAACTAAAGAACCAGCTGCCCAGCTCCTTTTCATAGCCTTTGTTGGACGAATTCAGCTTTTTGGTTATTGGCTTGGCCGACTGAAAAGCGCACCATCTCGCGGGACCTCGCAAGGCCAATTCGTTTTGGAAGGCCATTCGAGACCTCCCTTGCGAGTCGCTGCTCCAACGGAGTTTCACCGATGAAGTTTTCATTGCCGCGGTCGGTGTCCATGCGCCATGTTGTCGCGTGGGCACCCTGTTGTGGATCCTTGGCTGGGCCGGTCGGGCGGGAGGAACCCAAACGGCCTGGACGGCGGGACTGTCCCACGCTTTTGACCTGACCAACGAGTGCGTCCTAAAGTGGGACTGTCCTCCCAGTCCTCCCAGCGACCAGCCCTGAAAAGGTGGAAAATCGACCCAAACCGATCCACTTCTTCAGCTCTCCCTTCTTCAGCTCAGTGGCCCGTGCCGTTCTTTTTCAGGTGTGGTAGCTATTGGCTGGGGGTGGGATATGATGTGCTCCCCTAAAATGGGTGCCATGTCAGCCGCAACTCATCATCGACACCCCTTCTTGGAGGTGAAAATACCGCCTCTGATGGGTCCTGCTAAAGTGCCAATGAAGCTGCAAGTTGCACATCAACAACCATGCAGTTGGAACCCCTCCATGAAGCCCTGCATGCTGGATGCTGCCAGAAGCCACTTGCATCATGAAGGTTGTTCCCAGGTACATTGTTTTTAAAAAAGTCGCGGGACCGTCCAAAACACCTTTGGTTCTAAAAATGTTCCATGTGTTAAGAATCTCAAACGGAGTATTCCCTAGCACCCCTTTGTGGCATTTAATCGAAGATGAGTGAACATGGTTAAGACCTTCCTTGGACTCTTGGATCCCTGAAATTATGTTCTTTTGTTTTGCCTCAACTCAAATCCGACAGCCAGAAACAGTCTGAACTCAGTTCACTTTGTGAGTCTTTTCACACGACCGCCTTTGGTTTGGAACATGCTCAAGGTCAACTATTGGACCAAGAAAGAAGTCAGGCCCCCTAGCGACCTGACCTTCCTGACAACCAGCACACCCAGCACACGAGCACAACCTGAAGAATGGAGCCAATGTGAAATCACTTGACGGCCCAATCGGTCAGATCCATTGGGCTTCTCCCCAAAGCCACAAGTCCCAAATCGCATCCGAGGGATACCCCAATTCGCATCCTTAAACCACCAGGACCTTCCTTCCAAGAGTCCAGCGTCGATTTGGGACCAGGTGTTCGCTCTGAGCTTCGGTACTTGGTGTGTTCTTTATAGGGAGACCCCCCTGGCCCAATGGCTAAACTGGTTCCTTTCCTCCTTCCGGGGCCGAACTGAGAGGTCCGAGCTCCACACGAAGCAGTCCCCCTTGTTACTTCCGTGTTCGCCGCCGTCAGGTTTCACCTTCGGACGCCGGACTCGGTGCTTCGCACTCCCCCCGCCACCGCATGACATGCGCCGCATGATGCCTGAGGATGTCGAAGCCTCCCCTTGAGCGAGGAGATTCAATCTTTGGGCCCCTTGGGCCCGGTCGAAGCCGCCGATCCGTCGGTCTCCGTCGAAGCCGCCGATCCGTCGGTCTCCGCCCGTGTTGTTCGGAGTTTTTTTTTTTTTGGGGGGGGGGTCTGAACGTGTGATCAAGGAGCATCAACGATCAGCAGTTTGCTGTTTCACAACACAAAAAAAACCCGCAGGGGTGTGTGGAAGTACTGCACAAATGATCACAAATTCGTGGTCACATTTCATGATTGTGGGCTTGGAGATTACTGCGTCATCCAGCTGGCTTGAATCTTCAGGTCTTTCCAAGTGAGGAAGGATGGACTGAGTCGTTTGTGGTTCTGACACTGAACAAGTGAGCCATTTGTTTCTATTTTTTTCCGTCTTTGAAGTACAACAACAACCCATGTGTGCATGGCTGCATGGCCTAATATATTACAGTACATCAGTTTGAAGGGTCAGTCATTGGATTGGCAGGTCTTCGACTGGGCTTCGACTGATTCTGGACACCTTCGACTCTCCCATGGTTGGACCTGTTGGTGCGTGCAATGCATGTGTCCAGTCCAGTCTTTCAAGGGGTGGCCAGCGTTCCAAGAAATGGCTCGCGGGGACAGAGCGTTCAGACTGGCAACTACGAACTACCAAGCTGAAGAACCGGACGAGCTGTTCAGAACATGCTCAACAGCACTCATCCAACGGCTCAAGAAACCGCTATTGCATCAACCGCTCGCAAAAAAAAACAAAAAACACGTGTGATGTGTTTTTCCGGCCATGCGGCCAGTGGGCATGAGCAACAGCCGCGCGTGAAAAATCTCAGGTATCACAGAGGATGATTGGGCACACACACTCACTATCCTGAACCGAGCCGCCTCTTGGACTGAGACGAGGAAAGGTGACCCGTGGCTTCTTCATGATTCAATATTGATTAACACCTGAAGAAGCTTGATATCTAGAAGCAGGAGTAGTGAGGTTTCTGTTGAATCTCAATTCCTCTCACCGAAAACACTCAACAGAGCAAAACATTGCATTGCAAGAAAGATAATCCGTTCTACAATTATATGGTTCTTACATGTTCTTACTACCTACGCAAGATGACGTTTCATTAGTTTTTCTATTTTTTAAACTTGAACGCTGAGCTTCAACACAAGGTCAACAAAGCCAAACATGCAGCCGCTGTTTCAATGAAATAAGCACGAGATGATTGCCAAAGGTTGACGTTTAAAGGTTGACGTTTGATGCTGCTTGTTCAACAGTTTGCACCTCTTTAATGAGCAGGTACTGAGCATTAACCAAGTTCCAGCACCACCCAGTGGTGTATAGAACCCCCCTGAACATGTAATTTTCATCCAATAACCACCCTTTTGGGTGGTGCTGGTTTGTGTTTGTTGTTGTTGTTGTTGTTGCTTTCTTTCTTTCTTTCTGTGTTTTTTGTTTGTTTTGTTTATATAATCAGTTGTTTGTTGTTGTTGTTGTTTTCTGTTTATTGGCAATGTGGCCATCCTTCGCCTGCCACATATACTAATAAGGTGTTGCCCCAACCAATGTTCGGGGTTTGGTTCGGGTCTGGACCGCTGCGTTTCGGTGTCGGATCCAAGGATTTTGTTTTTCGGGTTCCACGGATTGTTGGACAATTGGGGTGTGGTCCGTTACCAGTAACCATGAAAACAATAAGAAAAAGATGATCAGCATGTTCGAGATGTCAACCTGCAATTCAATCATCATCATCATCATCATCATCATCATCATCATCATCATCATCAT